GAGAAACAGTGGACTCAGCAGGGCCATTTCAGGTAAGAAAAACAGTGCAGGAGAGAAGTGACTGAAGCCTTCTCCCTGCACTGTTTTCCTGTCCTGAAATGGCCCTGGGGGAGCCACTATTTCCCCCCACGGGAAAATATTTACTCTTTACACTTCTGCAAGGAGCTCTCATCAGCCTTTAAGTGCTGACTCTCATTGTTACAAGTAACAATGGGCTCATAACAGAAGGGCTCGTGTAAAGGGATAGCTAGAAGTAGTATATTTTCTCCCTTTCCATAAGTGTGTTAGATGCCTGCAAAATGAAGGCATTGCAACATAAAACGTGGTCAAATCCACAGGTAACACCAAATGGATTAAAGATTGAAATTTATATGGGATTACAGCACAGTAACATAATCATGGGTATGAGAAAGTCGTGTCATAGCTATTTAAGTGAGGCCATGTATTCAAAGAACAGAATTAATGAGAGTAGAGGGAACACAGGAATCATTAATGAAGAATATAAAAATGTAAGAACCCACAGGGAAATGCCTGCATTGTATTAACATTAAATTAATTAAATCTTATCTGCATTTACACATAAAAAGCCTTTAAACTATTTACCATTTCTCCAGGTTCATGTCAAAGTACTTTCCCAAAGAGACAAGTCGTGTGTCATTTCATTACAACATTTTCCTGCTAAACAAGGTTCAATTGGCACCAGGGGCAGAAACCTGTTGCTAAATACATAACATTTAAATTTCAATAAGATGCATATATTTATTATGCATACACATTTCTTGGCTCATCTTACTTTAGGGATGAAAGCAATGCTGCTTTCAGTGGCACTGAAAGATGCTGAGGAATTAAGGTGGCCATCTGAATTTCAGACTGATGCTAACTTTGTTCTACAGTAAATAAGCCGGATGCTTACTGCACACACAATACTGTGTTCCACCAAGGACTGAACATGTCACAAACCATTATATATATAATCAGCACTAACTGAACCCAAACTCTCTCTGGGTAAAAGACTAAAGAGTCAGTTTGGTGTAGTTATTAAGTGCATGAACTCTAATCTCGGAGAACTGAGTTTGATGCCCCATTCCTCCACTTGCAGCTGCTGGTGGACCCTGGGCAAGCCATAGTTCTGTCAGAACTGTTCTCTCAAGAACAGTTCTCTCAGAGCTCTTTCAGCCCTACCAACTTCACAGGATGTCTGTTGTGGGGAGGGGAAGAGAAAGGAAACCGCTCTGAGACTCTGAGTGAAGGGTGGGGTATAAACCCAATCTCCTCCTCCTCCTCTTCTTTTGAGCAAAAAAAATTGCTTGCTCTTCAGCTGCCTCTTATGTGGAATGATTTCAAGCAAATTCTTTTTATCCATTGCATTGGTGGATAGTGTGGACAGCAGCCCAGGTAAAATGCAAACAGCAGTTACGGCCCCATATAATTATTTTTTATATTTTTAATTTGTAACCCACTTTTCTCTATAACCTAGGCCCAAAGCAGCTGATCGCATCATTCCTTCTTCCTCTACTTTGTCCTCACGAGAACCACGCTGTGAGGTAGGATAGGCTGAGAGTGTGACGGGCCCAAGGTTACCTGGCAAACCAGGGGATTCAAACCTGGCTGTCCCAGGCTGTAGTCCGACAGTCTAACAACTGCACCACGCTGAGCCTCCAGACTTAAGTATGTATTAGTGCACAGTGTTAAAAAAGAAAGAGAATCTTCTCCAAGGACTTTGCTAGTTTCTGGAAAAGGAATTAAGATTTTGCAAATTCCTACTCTGTACTTTTACAGATCTACTACTATGGCGGTGACCAAAAATCAGGATCTCACTGCTAGGGCAGGGAGGGGAATTCTGAAACAAGACTGCCAGCTGTATAATATCAAGGCTAAGTTTCTTGTTCCCTTCCAGGCCGCAGGTGTAAAGTCTGGGTGTGGCTTGAGTGCAAGCCTTTTCGCAAAACGATAAGAGCCAAAGAGCTCTCAGCCCGTAGCCTCTGAATGAACAAGGACACTAGATCCAGAACCTGCCTGACAAACATTATGCTCCATTATGTTTGTAAGCCACTTTAAGTTCCCACTGGGGAAAGAAGCAGGTTAATACATTGCCAGATAAATAAATAAGGCCATCGGTGAGGCTAAATGATGGATGCTAGTACCTAGCTCCTGCCCCACATCACGACAGGAGTAACTCCAAGAGGCTGAACTACCAGCTGGCGCTTGCACTTGAGTAACGCAAAAGGACTGTGAAAAGGAAAGATATACACTGCTCTACAGAGAGAAGAGCCCACCCAGACCTATCTGCATTTCTTAAACAAACATATTACCTAGTATGACAAAAGAACTTTGCTTCATTGGGCTGTTGGTTAATTTTAATTTTAACTACACATTCTCTTTTAGTTAGATGTGCCACACATTAACAGCAAAAATAGTTTATATGTTGTTTAGCAGGAAAAAAGTATGATTATTAATACTTGGTATACCTATAGCACATTTCACGTATACAGCAGGCTTCCATAATCTTTCCAGGCAGTCATACTTGTTTTATTCCCATATTGTTAAGGGGAAGGGGAGGCTCATAAAATGGCACCTTGCCTAAGACTATTCACAGTCCATGGTTCAACTGAAGGACTTCCTAGCTCACACTCTTTGTCATTTTGCTACAAATGATTTTTAAAAAACTAGAACATAGGCTTGCATCAGAGTCTCCTAAATGAAATCTAGGACTCTCTAAGGCAAGGCGGCGGAAACACAACCTTTTTGCCCTCAGTGGATATACTGACGCAAGATTGATTACAAGGTGCCGAAACATTCAGGCCAGGAAAAAAGGAAGCATTTCTTCAGTCAAAGAACAATCGGCTTGTGAAATCTGCTGCAGTGATGATGGCCACTACTCTAGATGGCTTTAAAAGGATGCTTAGGCACACTTGTGTAGGATTTGTCCATCAACATCTATCAGCTATGATGATTACATAGGACCTTCATGTTTAGAGGCTGTAATATAAGTGTTCTTGGGCACCAAAAGTAAAAGGCCTCCACGACATACCTATAAGCCTTTCAGGGTCACCTGGCTGACCACTGTATGAAACAGGATACTGAACCAGATAGACCACTGGTCTGATCCAGCGCAGATATTCTTGTTGTTAATGTTACCATGTGTTAAGCTGGCAACAAGCATCTCAAGAGAGCGGCTCAAGAAAACTGTAAGTTTTGGTTTGGAAATCTGCACATATCCAAGAATCCTCCTTTTCAGTCAGTCTCTAAGTTAAAGAAAATATAATGAAAATGTTGTACCAGTGGTACCTATCTCCTGGTTGCCTAAAATGGATGCGTTTTCCATGTTAGAGGTTAAGTAAACAGGCTCATAGATTGTGGAGCAGGGAAATTACTGCTTATTATGACTGAGTATGTGAAGGTTAAGCTTTTGAAGATATTTTGGAAGTATTGTATTAAGAGTTCATATGCTATAATAGGAATGTATGCATGTACTTAAATACTGTGTTTTCTTTTGCATGTTTGTAATTTGTTCAAAATAAATACAAAATCTTAAAAATTGAAAGCCCTGCTATAAAACTTTCAGAAGGCAGAATTATCAGAATTCATCTGTTTCAGATAAGAATACAACTTTTGCCTTAAAACTGGTTTAAACATTCAGACATTCATGTGGCTATGAAACCACTTTATTTGCAAACAGATTTTGAAGTGGGATGCTTCTGAACAAGCTCACCTATCCTCTTCTTTCAACAGACTTATTTATATTCTTACTAGGCGCAAGGCCCGTTGCGGGAAGAGAGGCAATGAGCTCTAGAGAGAGGCCGCCAGAGGGGCCCCCCCACGCACTGGCAAAGGAGAGTGCGGCGGCTCTCCGGTGGCCAGGCTTGCGCCTCCCCCTGCCACGCACTGGAGGCAGCGGGGCAAGCCAGCTGGCCTCTTCCCTCCTCTGTCGGTGTGCTGGAGAAGGAGGCTGCCAAAGGCGGCAGGCCTCGCCCATCCACAGCGCTGCGCAGCAGCGGCTGCAGGCCCAGCCAGACGGGCTGGCTCCTTCCCCATCCTCCTGCCCGCTCACTTGAGGGCCCAGCATGGCAAGGCGGCCGGCCTTGCCCCTTTCCCCACTGGCCGCCTGAGCAAGCGAGCGGCGCACGTAGCAGTGGAGCAGTGGCGAGCGAGGGACGGCTGCTTTCCATCTGTTCCAGCCGCGCGCGCACCAAGCTGTCTAGCCTCGTCCCTCCCCCCAACCCCCCCAGCCAATGGCACGCCAGTTGCCCTGAATGGCAGCCGGCGGGCCAATGGCTGAGGGAGCGCATTTCCTCTCGCCACCCCATAGGCCAGTGGCCACCCCAAATCCCTTTTATTATAAGGAGAGATTCCACGTTTCCTACTCCAGGACAGTAGACTTGGTATTATCCCTAACCCTTTTCATTTTAACAATCCAGTGTGACAGATTAAGTTGAAACATAATGGCACATGTCCAAAGGTCTGCAGACTTCATGGAACAGGACTTAACCATTTACCTCTCCTCCTGCAGTCACTGAGAACCCCTTCCAAAAGCTTGCTCTGTGGTGGGAGTGGTTAGTGGGCCCTGAGCAAACTGGGAGCCTGTATAGAAAGGGGGGAATTGACAGAAATAGCTATTGCCTCTTCTCTAAATGAAAATGCTCGGAGGAACACTGTATACAAACCAGTGACTAGCCCAAGGCCCACAGTCACTTAATACGATTCACAGCTTGGTAGAAAACTGAATATGGATCTCCTGGGTCCAGATATAATCACTACATCATGCCAGGAATACCATTTGTGAATGACTATACCACTTCCCACATTCATATTTTAACCAAGAATGTTGTTGTTATTTTTTAACTAGGGCATAATAGCTTTCCTACTGGGGAGGAAGAGACGTTAGCAGTCAACGTGCACAATTAAACCTGAAAGTGTCTTCCTCTACACATCCTCCCTTTTTTTGGTTAGGCTCACAACTTGAGTTTCTTATAAATGCTCTGGTTTTTGAATATCATTACCTGTAATACCCAGGCATCACAATATGAACGCCTGCACTTGGCTGACAGATGTTTGCTACTTCCTGCTCATCCATTTTCCGCACAGAGTCTGTGAAAGGTCCTGTAGCATTGATAACACATTTGGCTTTGACATCAAATTCCTGCCCTGTGAAAGAAAACAGCATCAATCACATAGTCCATTTGTTTCCCTGTTCACTGACTCTCTGGATTATTAATTTATCTATGAAGTTAACCTATTGCAAAGTGTGTGTATATACATGCACACACCCACACATTCACTTTGCCGTAGGAACAGAATGGCTTCTGCTTATCACCAAAATTAGAGAACTCCTGACTTTAAAAAAGAAATAGTTGATTTTTTTTTAAAGATAGACGAGATGCACAGAAACAAATTCTCCCAAATAAAAATCAAGAGTGGCAGGAGCTTTCCTCCCTAATTTGCGCTTTATTTATTGAGTTCTTTATTTAATGACATGCTTAAACCCTGGAATTTGTTAAATTGTACTATTACTGAGAGCACACCACACGGTATTTTACAACGTCAGCTTTGCTTGACAGAAGGGCTTGGATGTAAAGCATGGTTTAGCATGCCAAAGCATTAGGATTTGAATGAAAACCTGACAGAAGTTAAAGATGATTGGCATTAATGACATGCCACTGCACTTTGGAAACATGCCTCCTTTGTCAGTTAAGTGATATTTACAAACTCTAGCCTCCCCTTGCACTCTTGCCCTCCCCCACCTCTTTTCTACCTTTAGGGGGAAAATTATTTAATTCCCAATTTCTTTAAACAGAAAAGCAAAATGCATTTGTAGATAACTGTGCTTTATCCAGTTAAACCCCTGTGTGCCAATGTGCGGGGGGGGGGGGGGAGGAAAAATTTT